CTCAAGTTGGCTCATTCTGCCATGTAAACTTTCAGTGGAGTTCTTAATCTCCTTGATATTTGTTTGCATCTGTTTTATGTATTCCATTTTTTTCCTATGTTGGGATTCCACCATGCTTTTCAGCTCCTCTATTTTTTTATTTGTGTGCACTCTAGATTTATTAATCATGTCTTGTACTATGGGAACAATCTCTGCTGTTATCTGACAAATTATTTCTGATTTCTTTTTTTCCAGGTCCTCTTTCATTGCCAGTTCAGGGAGTCCAGGTGGTTGAGTATGATATTGTTCCATCTCATTGACCTTTGGGTTTCCTTAGGTGATCTGGAAGTCTGGTTTTGAGACTTATTTCTGTGTCTTCTCATTTCAACAGATGCAGCCTGCTGTGCCCTTGTTGATGACATTTTTACTCAATCAGTGGTCTTCAATTCTTGGCAAGCTACTAAGCAGCTTTTACTCTGCTGATCACCAGTACACCAATTCCTTGGTTTGAAATCATGGCTTTCTAGGCTCTGAGCTGACTTGATGTCTGGGTGAGCTTCTGTTCAGGGCCTGTGCACACTTGGGGTGGTATCTAGGTGTGCCTCTGGCTGGGGCCCCTAAGTAGCTGTTGTCTGGGAGGGCCTTTGGCTGGGGACTGTTTTACCCCAATTCCTATTGTATGCGTAGGCTTCTGGCTAGGGTCTCCATGCACTTATCAATGGTATCTTGGAGAGCCTCTGACTGTTGCTTGTGTGTCTGTGTTGTACTTTTCCAGGTAGGTCCTTGGCTGTGGCCAGTGGTATGGTAGGTCTCTGGCTGAAGCTTCTGCACCTGTACAGCTCTTTTGCAGGTGGGCCTGTGGCTTGGGCAGGTGTGCTGTTGGTGTGAGGCCCTGGCTGAGGTCTGCCTTCAGCCACGCCACTCAGGTCCACACAGCTGCTCTGTGGGATCTGTGCACACTTACCACTGGTATGGTGTGGAACTCTCCATTCTTTTCTTTTAATGTGTTTAAGTTTGCCATTTTGGTTGAGGTTTACTACCAAAAAAACCTGAAACCATATGTAGAAATATTTTTAATATTGCATGTGTCTTCTAACACACATTTGGGTTTATAAAATTTGTCCTTGTTGTAGAAACACTTTACATTTGTTAATGAAACTTTAAAAGAATATTTTGCTATTTTGAATATGATTTAGTAAGACATTCTGCTGTAATCACAATCAGTAGTTTCCTGAAAAAATACCGAAGAATTAAAAAAGCCCTTGATGAATGGAAACAGCTGTCTTATTGTACAAAATCTGAAACAAAAGCTCTATAAAAATAACTTGGCATGTTGTACTCCTAGAATTAGGATACATAGTGTTTGAATTTTTTATTTGTGCATGTTTTGTGCGCTTGAAATAATATATTTACATGTGAATGGAAGAAAGCAAAATTGTATTCCAAGGTTTATGAAAGGAAATTACTGACTGGTTCTTTAACTGGGAAAACAACATCTGAGCTGGTTTTTCCATTTATTTTCAACTTGACATTAACTCAAATATTGGTTTCAATGAAAAGAGTATTTTTAGCATGAAATTATAAGTTAGTCTAAATATTTCACCATAATCTATATAGGAAAAGGACTATCTTAACACCTGGTCCATAGTTGACCCTTTTTACAAGGTTGGCTCTTCAGATTTCCATGAAGCATGAGCAAGGTTTACTTTAGCGCTTCCTGAAAGATGTCCAGAGCCCCCGGAAGTAGGGATAGCTCTCACTTTGTGTCCTCATTCTCTTCTAATTCAGTGTCCTAGTCTTTTCTTTCACTTTCAATTTCCATAGTCCTGCTTTAGGACAGCTCTTCAAGTAGTAGTTTTTGCCACACAGCTAACATAAATGAATGATAAGTCAGAAAGGGACTTTAGACAGATGAATGCCCATGTTCCATTGAAAAGGGACCACAGATGTTTGCCACATAAAGAATACTGACCTTATGTTTCTAGATTTTCCAACTTCTTATGAAAATTTATATATATAATTTGAAAAATAATAGTGTCCTGGTTTTTCAATACTGAGTAATCAATCTGAAAATACTGGTTGGCTTGCATTGTCTGAATTATGTAAAACTGATCTATGGGCTACATGTAATTTGAAATCTCTACTTAAGGGGCTCCCTTTGTGCTTCAGATAATAATTACTTAATATGATAAATTTAGATCTTTGTAATTGGTAACTTGTATCTTCACTATTTCTTCATTTCTCCATTTAGTTACATGCTCAAGAAGTATTTACTATACAAAGTTATTAAATTTCACCACTATCCTAGGCACTGGGAATGTAGTCTACTTATTTGTTCTATTTCTGCAAGGATATAAGAGTTTAATGTGAATCAGAAATTAATCACAATGCAGCTTAATGAATGTCACGAGAGAAAGAGGCACTGTGCATAATGGTAGCACCGAGAAAGTTTAATACTGTCTCTTAAATGAGTAAAATAAATGTACATATTTCCCTCTAGCAGGTCTCTGAAAGGAAGTTGTAATGCTTGGATGCTAAACTTATGCTGGTAGGGAAGAGATTTGTGGGCAGATAGTCCTTTCAATTCCTTCTAAATAGAACGTCTTTGTCATTTGGCAGTTGAAAAAGATGATGCTTTCATTTTACCCTTTGACATCTATTGAATGATATTTCTAAAGTGAAATACTCAGAAGAGTCAATAGACTGTTCCTTTTTTTATATTGCTTTGACTAGGTGTCAGCAATTCCAATCATATCAGATCATTTATTACTCTGAGAAAAATCCCTTGACAAACTCAGAGATTAATTTGTTGTTGATGGGCTACTTGAGAGATATTTCTACTACTTCCTATAATAGAAAGAGTTGCTCACAGCTCACGTTTGGTGTTATGGCTTTGTATGAAATATAAGCATCTAAGAAGAGGGAATCAAAGTGAAATCTTGAGTTTGTTTCAAATCAAAATCAAATCTCCATGCAATGTCAAAATTTTCAGCTTTCTTTATGTTGAGGTTAGTTCATGCAGAGAAAAGATAAGAGTGCCCAGTAAACAAGTAGCTTTCAGATAGCAGATAAAACTGTAAAATGAAAGTACTCAACTGATGGCTGGAAAATGTTATTTGTAGTACTTTGAGTTGATGTTATATTTTGTGGGAAATGAGTTAGTATCTGTCTATATACCTGTTGAAGTGAGAACAGGCACATTTCCTAAAATTGTCAATTTGGCACTGACTTTATAGAACTTTAAGTAAATTTAGTATTAGTTACTGAGTCATTGCCAAAGGAAAACTCCAGAAGGTTTTATTTTTAGAATGAAAAAAATAAACATTTTATTAAAACAACCCTTTGAACAGTTTTTCATTCCAACATTATAATTCAGACTGAGTTTTGTAATTGCTTTCTCCTTTTAAAATAATTGGATTCATGTCATAACAATAAATTTCTATATAAACATTTCAATCCATAAACTAAATGTACCTGCTTGGCTATTTCCAAATATTATTCATATAATTATTGGGTACCAATTATGTGTCAGGAACCCTTCTAAGTCTTGGAGGGAGAAAAAAAAAGCAGATATGATAGCTCTCACCATTTGTCTTCTAGTCAAGTAGAAGAGAGAGACTAATCAAATAATTACCAAACTAAGAAACAGTATGACTGCAACAAGAGCAATGAAGGACAGTCACATGGTGCTAACTCAAGAGGACTTGCCCAGCATGCCCAGTGCCCTGGATTCAATCTCCAGTACCGCCAAAAGAAACAGGAGGGGTATTAGATCTGGGGAGGAAATGAGGTCAGGGCAGCCCTCTTGGAGAAACTGGGCCTTGGGTTGAGTCTTGACAGTGTCTGAAGATTCTTAGGTAAAGCAGAAAAGGAAGATGATTCTGGACAGAGGGTCCTAAATACATGTCTGCGTCCTGTGCCAGAGAATAGCTCAAGGTTTTGAGACAGAATGGGAGCCTACATTCAGTAAGAGGGGAGGCAGGTGAGTCCAGGTCAGAGGGGGCCTGGAAGACACAGTGAAGTCTGCCTTTCACTTCACCCGTGTGTGCTTGAGACCCCTTTCTCTGCAGTGTGACAAAATATGGGAGAAGGACAGAATGGGACAGCAGGAGACCACTTATTTTTTTTTTCTCATTGAGTTTATTGGTACATTTTAGGGATACAGTACAGTTACATTCATTGTTGGGATCTTGTACCTCTGCATGACAGGTCTTGGTTCTCATTTTCCCCCTTACCCCTGCCCTCCCTTCATCCCTCCTCCCTTCCCTATTTATAAATACTTTATTTACATTTTTTCATTTTCTCATATTTTTTTCGCTTTTTACCTTTCCCTTACCCTTCCCACTTCCCCTACACCTTTAGCCCTTTTCTTCCCATTTCACATTGTCAATTATACCATTAGGATCTTATGTACCATTATAGTTTTTCACACCAGAGAAACTATTTGGTAGGAGACCAATTATAATAGCCAAGTTGAATGGGTGTTGGAAATGTAATAAATACATTTCAAGCCAGCAGGAGATACAAAATGTGCAGGTGGCTCAACTGCTTGTAGTGTTATATGGATGAGAACTCTTGCTATCCATCAAGTCCTCTGCAAAAAAAGCTATGTAAAATTCATTTCTATGACCTAGAGCTCTAGAAAGGAAATTTCTTTAATACCCAGGTTATATGTATTTCATCTTCCTATTCTCACCTGCCAGATAAGCAATTTCAAATGTATAGGAAAATATTTTTTCTCCTCTTAGACTGACCTCAGCAATGGTGTGAAGGTATTTGAGGGCCTCCACATTTTCAATTTAAGATGTAGAAAATATTTGGATTTGAATGCTGTCCTTAATATATGTTAGCTGTGTGCCTTGGACTATTTGTTGAATCTCTTCATACCTCAGTTTATCCATTTTAAGACTACAGATAATAAATGTTACCATATTGGTTTATTATGAAAGCTGAGATGATGGTATACTTTCTTGAACATGGTAAATTTGCAATTATCATTAATCACATTCCTTCCTTCACAGATTTCTCCTTCAGAGCAGTCTGATGCGTCAATTATTTCAGGCCTAGAGACACCATGGAAGAAGGTAGGTAGTCATAGGGAAAGGGGCCCAACTAATGATCCTCAAAATAGCCAATGAAGATGGTCATCAGTTCTACCTTTCTGACTGACTAACCATGTTTCCTGACCTGTGGTATTCCTAGAAGGCTCTGAATTCTGCATCCTTCTTTGTCCACAAGTTTAAGGCGCTAATTTCCCCCATAGATTCCAAACCAGGGCTGGAAAACTTTTCACCAAAAACTCCTTGTTTCTATTTTTCCTTATATACTTGAGCGTGAAGATTTGCCTGCAGGGGTGAAGGATATTTTATTCTTAATTCAGATTCCACTGAGCTAGGAACCCTCATGCAGAGAAAGCTCCTATTGAGTACAAAGGGAACATCGCCTAAAAAATAGCTATATTACTTGGCCTGGTGTGTATACATAGCCACTCAAGAATGTTTTGAAGATAGAGAGAGAATAGTTTTCCTTTCACTAGCTCCAGAGGATGTTCTAAACATAGATGCCAATAAAGATCTGCATTCTCAAAGGGAAAAAACATGTGCTTAGTGTAATTCTACAGTCTGGATTTTCAAAAATCTAAGAAGTGGGGTGTTTTGTTTTGCTTTGTTTTTTTGAAGAGGCAATGTTGCAGTGAATTTGCACAGTTCATTATTTTAACCCTCTCAGGATAAAAAACAACATGATAAAATGGAAATCACTACAATTGCTAACATCTGGATTTGGAAATCATTACTGTAGTATAAAAATTATAATTTTGTCTCATTTTTGATAAAAGGAGCAAATAAATCAGATGTACTTCTGATCCTGTGGGAAATATGAAATAAGACTAAGATAAAATTAGCTGTTATTAATCAAGCAAGCACTGAGCATATCTTTACACTTGAATCAGGACTCAACAACAGTATGTTTTTATAATATATAGAAAAGATGGCTGCTTTTCCCAAAGTATTTACAGAATATTAAAAACCATAAATATTATATTTAAAACAATAAGCAAAACAAACTAATATATTATTCTGAGCACTTCACATTTTTGAAAAATTGCCTAAGTGTTTTGACTAATTCACCCAGCTATTTAAATGATTCATAGCTGGTTCCTTCCAGACAACAGAGGCAGGAAAAACAGTGAGCATGAGAAAGGCGGAGAGGCTTAGAAAATACAGTTGGGAGAGGAAATGGTATCTGAAAGACCAGTAATTGGATGCTAAAAACAGGTATCTGCACAAATTTTCCTCATGTTACAAAATTTTTCCCTGATTAAGCATAGAAATAGAATTCAAATCTCAATTTTGGCTATGATTTTCAAATATTACTTATCTTTTCTCTGCATTGAAGGCAGCAATTATGACTTTTTTCTTGTTTAATTTTAATTATATTGGTACATTTTAGGTATACAATATATAATGACATTCATCATTGGAGATTTGTACCTTTACATAATATATCTTAATTCTTATTTTTCCCCATATCCTGCCCTCCCTTCAACCCTTCCACCCTTCCCTATTTACAAAGACTTTGTTTCCATTTTTTTCCTTTTCTCATATTAATTCCATTCCCTTTTCCTTTCCCCAACCCCTCCCACTTCCCCTTCCCTTTTGTACCTTTACTTCCTATTTCACATTATCAAGGTTCCATTCTCAGGCCTTTATTTTCTCCTTTTACCTAGAGACTTTCATTTTACAAATTTCTTCTGTGATCATCTTTATCCTAGTGACCAGATTAGGCAGTTCAGTAATTTAAATAGAATGCATAACCTTTGGAATAAAATAAACATAAGTTCAAGTTCACAGTTGTATTACTTATTAGCTATGGGACTTAGGACCCAGTTATCCTTACTTTTCTTGATCCTTATCTTGCACTTCTGATAAAAAGTTAGTGATAATATCTAACTCATACTTTTGTTGTAGGAATTAGGTGAAATTATAAATATAAAATGAATATGATTTGTCAGAAACTTAATAAGCACTCAATAAATGTTTTCTTTCTTTACATTTGTTTGTTCAGCTTTTTCAAGAAATTTTACTGCAGTTCATTGAAATTATACAATTCAGTGGTTATTGGTAAAATCATATAGTTTTTTATAACAACTGCCACAGGTTAATTTAAAATTTTTGTTTACCCAGGAAAAAAATGTATTGGCAGTAACTCCATTCCTTTCAATCTCAGCTTTAGGAAAACACTAATCTCATTTGTCAATCTTTGTTCATGGTGTATTATAGATCAACACTTCGTTCCTTTTTATTGCTCAGTTCTATTTTATCAGCATGCCACATGTTATATGTGTTAGTCTGGGGACACTTGATTTGTTTGTAATATGTGAGTCTTATGAATAATGCCACTAAGAACATTTATGTAGAAGTTTTTATGTGGACCCATGTTTTCATTGCATGGGTATATTCCTAGGAATTGAGTTGGAGATTCTCTTTGAAAATTAATGTTTAAGATTTTAAGGAAATGCCATTTTGTTATTCAAAGCAACTGTACATTTAATATTCTGACCTGTCATGTATGAAAATCCTAGTAAGCCCATAACGGTACAGCACCTGTTTTGGTCAGTTTTGTTTGTTTGTTGTTTGTTTGTTTTAATTTTTTAAAACTATTCTAGTAGATATAAAGTATTATCTCAGTATATTAATACTTCCACATGACTACCTACCTTTTTAATATATAAGATGGGCATCTGTGTATTTTCTTAAGAGAAAAGATGAAACAAAACTAGCACCCATTTTTATTTGAGCTATTGTTTATGATTAAATTCCAAATATTGTAGCTTATAGATGCAGATCTCTTGTGGGACATATAATTTATTTATAATAATTTCCTCTCATTCTCAAGTGTCATTTCACTTTCATGATGGTCATTTTTTTGAATCACAGATGTTTTAAATTTTGGGGTATTCTAATTTAAATATATTTTAAATATATACATTTAAATATATACATATATACATTTGTGTTTTTGGTGTCATATCTGGGAAATTATTGTTAAATTCAATAGAATGGGGATTTATTCATTTATTTACTTCTTATTTAGGCTTTGCTCTTGAATATTTAGGTCTATGATCTATTTAGAATTGCTTTTTAGATATGGCATCATTCTCGAGTCCAACTTAAAGATTTTCTAAGTGGATATCCATTTCTTCCACTACCACTTATTCAGAAGACTCTTCCATATCCAATGGTCTTGGGGCCCTTGTCAAAATTAATAACTCATAAATGAATGAGTTTATTTCTCCACTCTCAGTTCCATTTGGTAGATCTCTCTATTTATCCCTAGGACATTATTACACTCTATTAATTGCTATAAGCAATGTTGTTTACAATTTTATTTTTATTTTTATATTTTTTCAGCTTTCATCGAGTTTATTGGTACATTTTAGGGATGCAGTATAGTTACATTCATTGTTGGGATCTTGTACCTTTACATGACAGGTCTTGGTTCTCATTTTTTACCCTTACCCCTGCCCTCCCTTCAACCCCTCCTCCCCTCCCCATCTCCAAACACTTTATATTTACAATTTTAAAATAGGGGAATATGAGTTTTCCAACTTCATTCTTTCTTAAAATTGTTTTGTATATCCTTAGTCTTTTGTATGTCTTTGTGAAATTTTGGATCCACTTATCAGTATTTTCAGAAAAGATAGTATTTTGACAGGGATTACACTGAATCTTCAGATCATTCTGAAGATTGTTGCTATTATCATCATCATAAGTCCTTCAGCTCATAAGAATGGATGTCTTTCCACTTGTTTAGACCTTCATTTAATTATTAATGCCTTTTGTACATAGACATACCAAAAGGTGATTTTTGCTGTTTTATATATTTATTTGTATTCTACAACTTTAACTCACTTGTGGTTTTGATGGTTTTTAGTGGTTTCTGTAAAATACATACAAGAACATGTTATGTACAGAGAAAGACAATTTTACTTTTTGAATCTTGATCATTTTTCATTGTTTTTGTTGCTTTCCAACTTAAGAAATTGTGAGAGCATACATCCTTGTCTTGTTCATGAACTTGGGGGAAAGTTTTAAGTCTTAAGTCTTCTACTATTAATATGAAGTCAGCTGTATGTTTTTTATTGATGCTCTTTGTAAGATTGAGAAATGTCCCTTTTATGCCTAATTTTTAATTAATTTTATCATCTGATGGTACCGAATCTTGTCAGATGCTTTTTCTGTATAGATTGAGATAAATGTGTCGATTTTGTCCTTTATTCTTTTATCATAATGAATTACATTGATTTTTGTGTGTTGAATCAACTTTGAAATTCTGTAATAAATCCCACTTATTTATAATACATAATTAATTTAATATGTTGTTGGGTTTTGTTTGCTAGTATTATGTTGAGAATTTTTGTTTTAACCTTAATAAAATGTAGTGGTCTGTGTGTATTTCATATTTTCTGGTTTGATATATTTAGTGTTTGATTATCTCAGAATATTTTCTATTTCTCTGATTTTTTTTCAATGACCCATTATTAAGGAGCATGTTATTTTAAATTTCCTTATATCTATCAATTTTCAAACTTTTCTTCAGTTATTGATTTTGTTTTTAATTCTTTGTATTGTGAGAATGTATTTTGTATGATTTCAATCTTTTGAAATTTACTAAGGCTTGTTTTATGGACTGGCCTATGGTTTTTATTGGGAAAAGTTACTTCTGCACTCGAGAATGTACATTATGCTGATATTGGATACAATATTTTATGGACGTCTAAAATAGAGGTAGTTGATTTATACTGTTGTACAGTTTTTCTAGTTATTTGTTTCTATTTTTCCCATTTGGTCTGTTCATTATTGAAATTAGGTTGTTTAAGCCTCCAACTTTTCCAGTGGTATTTTCTTTTTGTAACCTTTGGTTCCACCATTTATTTCTTCATGCATTTTGAATCTCTGTTGTTGGGTGCACTTATGTTTATAATTGTTTTACTATCTGTATAGATTTACTCTTCTATAATTGTGCAATATCCCTTTTTATATATAATTAATTATTTCTATTTTCCATAATTATTAATTGACACTTTATGATTTTTATTTGCTTTTATGTATCTATGGGTCATAGAAAAACTTTAATCGTCAAATACCATTTGTTAGAGCTGTTCCTCTTTCAGAATCATTTGAATTATAATCACTAATTATTCAGTTTATTAAACATCATTCATAATATTCTTTGGAGTCAACATGGTAACAGTATGAAAGTTATAGCCTGGAATTATAATCATTGTGGTCGGCATCAGTGTGCTATAACTGGTTAACATTGGTTTAGCAGATCCAGTTATACACATATATTCCCAATTCTGCATTTGATTGTGTCTCATTCACCACTTCAAATCAGTCTAGGTTGAAGTATTTTACCACAGAAATTCCAAAATGCTGCAAATTAAGAATTTACATTTGAACAGCTGTTTGATATGCACACTATCAACTGTGGCTGAGTTTTTAGGTGGCACCAAGACCAGCTTTATAGAATGTATTGATAGTTTAGAATTTCTTCAGTATGCTTTGTATCAAAAATGTTCATACTTAACAGTTTTTTGCTCTTAGTCATTTTGGAGTTATGAACTTTTTCATGTCACAAGCAGGCCCTTATCTTCTACTTCAAGGTCAGATTATTTACTTCAGTGATTTTTGACCTACACTCTCATCTTCATTTCCTCATTGTTTGTGGTGATAAAATTTTAGCTGGATACACTTTTGGAAAATGCAAGTTAATGTTCAGAGTTTCTTTGGATGAGGGAATTGGCTGAATTAGCTGTACTTCTGTTTATTTTTTCCTTTACCTTGCCTATTTTTTGCAGGTGTAAATGCACAGCAGCCATCTTCTGGAAAACATAAAGCAAATAGGTAAGTATCACATCTGGCTGTGAATTACAATCAGGTGCAAAGTCAGCTGGTGTGTTCATGTACCTTGTTCCTACTTAATTTAACTAAACAGAGTATTTTTTAAAAGTTGCTCTGAAATCATGACCTCTATTGACAAACGCTGGTCCAACATAGATTGATTATGACTGAGTTACAAAATGCTCTTGCAGCCCTCAGAGTGGAAATGCTCACTGTGGGTGCCTTTGGTTGAACCAGGCTAGCAGGTGTGGCAGGATTTTAGTTCAGAAAAAGTATTGGTGATGCATATGAAAATAAAGAAATTATGGAGAATCTCTTCATATTACAGAGAACAGAAAATTCACTTTCTCCTTGGAGTCTTTTTCAGATAACTTTACATGGATGACAATGAGATAGGAATTTAAAAATCTATTAAAATAATATTTTTGCTTTGACTTTGTGAAAAATTATGCAGCTTTGGTCAAATTTAAGTAGTTTGAACTTCAATTTCCCCAACTGTATAATAGAAATAGTAGCACCTGTCTTATAAGGTATTGTTATAATATTAAAATTAAAGATTAATATATGTATATTTGAATTCATATGGCATCATACACATTTCCTTTCCTTCCCTACTAGTTTTTGTCACTTATGCTTGTCATTTCCTGGGGGCATTATTTTTAAATATGTTTCTTCTTTAAACAGTTGAAACAAGTATTTACTTCTAAGTGATTAAAATCATCGAATTGCTGTCAGAATTGTTTGAATCTCAATAGTTTCTGCAATTATCAAATGGAAATGAAAATGTCCCAGGGATTTATAGGTTATTGTGCACTTATCATCAAATATTCTTGTAAATAGTTTATGAGTATTATCTCTTTCAATTTTTACAATCCAAAGAGTAGGTGTCATTATGATCCTTCTATGGATTAGACCTAGATGTCCCCCAAATCCTCATTTGCTCAGATGTTGGACCTTTGAAGGTGATTTGATCATGGGAACATTATAACTGACTTGCTATTAGGAGCTTGGGTCTGTTCAGAAGAGGCAGATCACTCTGGGAGTGGCCAGACAGTTATATTTTCATTTTTGGCTCCTTGATTGATCCTCTTTGCTTCCCTGAAGCCATGCTATGTCCAGGGTCTACTCTGGCATTCTGTTCTGCCACGCCATCCTACCTTGGAGCCAGCCAACTATTGACTGAAATGTGATCCAATATAAATAAACATCTCCTTCCTTGAGTTAAAGCTGTCTGACATAATGTCTCAGCAGTAAAGAAAGGACCTAAGACAGATATGTATCTTAAAGATTACAAAACTTAGCTACTTGATCAAGTCAAACAGCCAAAATATATAGTATATTGGGATCTTGACCAAGTAGCTTGTCTTTAAGACATGTGCTTTAAATATCTGCTTCTCAATTTATGGCCCATGGACTAGCAGTAATTGACATCACTTGGAACATGTTAGAAATTCATATTCTGGCCCCATCCTGGACATCCTGAATCAGAATATGCATTTTAATAGGACACTCAGTGTACCTATGTACTCAAAAATTTGAGAAATATTACTTAATTCAGTAATGGATGAAAATATGAATTTGGTGATCTAACACATATATTTCTTTAATGACAATTTAAAGAAACAATGGAGTATAACAGAAGGAAAAAACCCATACCTAAGAAAATGAAGAAAGCAAAACTTCCATATTACTAAAAACTCAAATATATCTATAACTAGTTATACTGCAGAAGAGACCACATTTAAACAGGCAAAGAAGTCTGCCAGCAAGCTTCTTTTACTGTGATTGAAAATGGTTTACTAGCATAAACCAGAGGAAAATTTTTAGACTCTCTGATATGTTCTCAAATGAAACTGAAAAAAAAAATGTGGATTGTCTCAAAAAAAAAAAAAAGACATTGCAAAATGAACTACAAACCAACCTCTTCCCTATCCTTATACCTCAATCAGGGAAAGAAATTGAATTGCAAAAGAATATAAAACTGAGCTTGCACCAAATTCCCTGGTTGTAAATGGAGAGCTTGGTGCCTCAGTTCTTATAGTGTAAGGCAGGCTTAGGAAAGTCTTAGTAAAATAATACATAGGCATATTTTGTATTTGTTTATTGTTTTAAGGACTGCAAAGTCAACTCATGTTTGCATGACAAATATTCTTTGCTCATTTGAGAATAAATTATCATATTAATTCAATAAAAAGTATATTTCAACATGATGTATACCAAT